TCGGCATTCTGGGTTTTTATACCCTGCATTTCCCCCAGCCTCCACTCTCCTCCTCAAATTCCCATTCTGCCCTCCGATTCCGCCAGATTTTCCTCTCCCACGCCACCAACGCCACCCTCTCCTCCTACCTCCGCGCCCTTACCCTCCATCCCCACCTCGCCGGCACCCCGCCATCCTTGGACACCGCCAGCTTCGTCCAGGCCCACTTCCTGGGCCTGGGCCTTGTCACCCGCTCGGCCCACTACAACGCCCTCCTCTCCTACCCACTCCACTCCTCACTCTCTGCACATTTTAGCAACGGCTCCCGCGTGGACATCCCCTTAACCGAGCCCGGCCTCAACAGTAATCGCGACGGCGTCGTTCCACCGTACCACGCGTACTCCCCCTCCGGGTCGGCGCACGCCAAGCTCGCCTTCGCCAACCACGGCACGGACGAGGACTATCGTGCGCTGGGGGAGCTCGGGGTGAACGTTAGCGGGTGCGTGGTGATTGTTAGAAGAGGCGATGACGTGTCCAGAGGCGAAGTCGTTAGGAAGGCAGAGAAAAACGGTGCGCTGGCTGTGCTATTGTACACCGAGGGGGCCGGTGGTCAAGCGAATGGGGGGTTTAAGAAGGGTTTTGAGAGAGGGTTTGTTATGAACGGCGTGGGGGACCCACTGAGCCCCGGGTGGGCCGGGGTTGACGGAGCCGAGAGGCTGGACCTGGACGACCCTGAGGTACTAAAAAGGTTTCCGAAAATTCCATCCATGCCCCTGTCCGCGGAAGCTGCCGAAACCCTTCTGGGGTGGCTCGGCGGCGCTACTGTGCCGCCAGCGTGGCGGGAATCGCTGCCCGCCGCAGTGCGCGGGGTGGGGCCTGGCCCGACAGTGGTGAATTTCACTTACAAGGTCGGTTTTTGTTGGTGCCCATTTTTCTCTGTTGCATGGATTTTAGTCAAATGTTGTGTGAAAGGTAGTGGCTTGGAAGTTTGGCAATGCGTGGTTTTTTGACTTTGGTGTTTTCTGTTATTTCTGTTATGTAATCCGAACTGGTGGTTGTGTAAAGTTTAGCCAAAATTGGATGTGGGCAGTGGGGAGGTGTTATAATTTAAGCTCTACATTGGAGATTTTTGCCAATTTGGGGAGGAGTGCATTGTGCTTCTAAGAGCAGAGCTTGTCTTTTAGTCTCTCTGTTAGAAACCTGTTGTTTTGTCACTTTCTGTTGCATCATTTACTTTGTAATCGATATCATTTTTGCAGCTATAGCCGTAATCTATCTTTTATATCATCGTCTTTTGCTTTTAAATATTTTGCTTACCTACCTATAAATCTTCCCTGCTCCCTCTCTCCTTGTATATATTCTCTCTTATATTTTCTGTGTCATAATTTTAGGGGGAGAAAAAGGTGGTGAAGATTCATAATGTTTTTGCTGTCATAAGGGGTTCACAAGAGCCCGACCGCTATGTGCTGCTTGGAAACCATAGAGATGCGTGGACGTATGGGGCTGTTGACCCCAATAGTGGAACTGCAGCATTACTTGACATTGCTCGTAGATATTCTCTTTTGATGCGTTCAGGTTGGAATCCTAGGAGGACGATTATTCTCTGTAGTTGGGACGCAGAAGAGTTTGGAATGGTACGTGATTCTGCGTCTTCATTACCAAAAGACTCTGGCCAGTCACAGTCATTGTTTTGCATCAGATATTTAAGTGACTTTATTATATAATACTTAGGTTTATTAATCAGAATACTTGAATTTATTGATCTCTCAAGGTTTGGTGTTCCCAGGTAGGATCTACTGAGTGGGTTGAACAAAACATTGCCAATTTGGGCTCCAAAGCCGTTGCCTACCTTAATGTAGATTGTGCGGTTCAAGGACCAGGATTCTTTGTCCGCTCGACTCCTCAGCTGGACAATCTCATTCTTGAGGTCACAAAGAAGGTAAACAAAATAATCATAACCAGTAACTACAAATAGAAGAAAGTTATTTTCTTTGGGTGTGAGTCAGTGTTGCACCTCGTATTTGAGTGATATATCCTTGACTGCTATTCAATGTGACCTCAGATTAAAGATCCAGACTCGGTGGGTGCCACTGTATATGAGAAATGGATGACCGCAAATAGAAGGGTTGATGTAAGTGATTATCTGCAATTCCCGTTCTTGCTCCATACTTTCATGTATTATCCTGCCATGACAGTTTTGGTCACATGTTCTGTCATGGGTTTTCAGGTCCAAAGACTCAGTGCAGTGGATTCTGATTTTGCCCCATTTTTGCAACATGCAGGGATTCCTTCCATGGATATGTACTATGGAATTGGTACATCTTTTATTTTCCTTCTAATAAGTCGGATGGAAAAATTGAGTTTTATGTTAATACTGCAGTAGTGTGATGACTTTTCATTCGTGTTCAGATTTTTCTGTTTATCACACTGCATATGATGCTTATGAGTGGATGATAAACTTTGGAGATCCTTTCTTTCAGAGACATGTGGCTGGTAAGCATACTTTTTACAGACTTGTCCACAAAACTATCTGTTGTTGAGTTTTTTAATATTTGAAGACGATTCCTTTACTGTTAAAAGTTCAATGGAACTTCTCCTCAGTTGCTGGAATGTGGGGACTTCTTGCCCTTCACCTGGCTGACGATTCAGTTCTACCTTTCAATTTCCTCTCTTATGCGCATCAGTTAAAGGTGTGAATCTTCTCCAAATTTTGTTATTAACTTCTTTTGTTAAATTATTTTGTGAAATACGGATATTATCATTTTTACTTATGGCTTTCGTTTTGGTTGAATCAGTAAACGTAAGAGAGAAACAGGTTGCAAGAATTAAAATTTTTATCATGGATAGAAGGAAACGATGTAATAGGAAAATTATTTAAAGGCGAATCTTCATCAGTTTAACAAATGTGTCAAGAATACTATTGTATTTTTATTGTACGTGTGGGTAAAAAGATGGGCGGTCTAAGCTTTTTTTTCATGCATATGGTTGGTCCTTTTTAAACTAAATTCTAAACCGACATCTTTATGAATTTTGGGCAGCATTATGAAGATGTTTTGAGCAACTTGTTGGACGGGGGTGTATCTCTACATCCCCTCACAACAGCAATTCAGGAGTTTGCCTATGCCGCCAAAGAAGCTGAAGATGAAGCACAGGTAAAATCTTCAAAATAGACATATTGACACTTCGTTGTTGCCGTCTATTAGTCAAATAATGTCAAAGGTCAACAATGTCATTTTTGATATCGTGTTGAAACTAAACAAGTGAAATTATAATGACATGCATATAGCACTGCATTGGTTTATTTTCTATTCTTGTTCTGAAGCAGAATAAGCATAAACGTTTCTGGAAATTCTGTGAAATTTATCCCTGTAATTGTTTGAAGTGCAGGAGCTGAGAGAGCAAGAAAATACAAGTGAGCTTGTAATTTTGAAGAAGCGGGCACTGAATGATCGGCTGATGCTTGCTGAAAGAGGCTTCCTGGATTCAGATGGACTCGAAGGAAGACAGTGGTTCAAGCATCTTGTAAGTAGTTTTCTTTTTCCTTGACTTCCTAAAGCTGATTGAGAATCAGTAGGTATTGATTATGGTAGTTAAAAAGAAAAGAGAGACGAAGAAGGGTACATACAAACGCATTGCGTGATCACTTTGCCCCTCTTGTAGGTTTATGGGCCTCCTGGTGAGCATGGAAGCAAACTATCCTTCTTTCCCGGAGTAGGCGATGCAATGCTTCGAGCAAAGAGAATGAGTAGCAGAGAAGGGCAGGCCAAAATTCAGCACGAGATCTGGAGAGTTGCCAGAGCCATACAGAGGGCTGCAAATTCCCTGAGAGGAGACGTTTTCTGAATCGTGTACACAGAATGAACAAGAAAACCTCGAAAACATTCCGGCGCTGGCGTATATTTATGAGCATTGAGTAGAAGAAGATGCAACTTTTTTGCCCTGTAATACAGACATCGCAGTGTTTGTAAATAGTAACTTAGTTATTCTGTGTAAACTCAATTTTCCGGCTGAAGATTTTGATGTGCTTTCCTTATCAGAGTATATTTGGTTTTTTTTTTTTTTTTTTTTGGCAAGTGAGTCGGATATAGTAGGTAATTATTTGGTTCGAAAATTTTAATATGTAGCCAAATCGCATCCAACGGACTTAAAGGCTGCGATGGGATTTGCATTTTCATTTTTTTATTCCGATAAACGATGGGTACATGTAATTTAAATGATGTTTGGGTTGAACTTTAGAGACGGGGAGGGTTGAACTTTGAGATGTTTGGGAAGTGTTTTTAAATGATGAAATGGTTTTTTGAGAAAGTGTTTTTGATATTAATCATTTGTGAAAATGCAAATTAATTATGGAAATGTATTTGATGTGTTTTCTGGTTCTTTGTACATGAAACACTTCAAGTACTTTTGGAGTCTAAAAATATTTTCTCTCAAATGCTTTCAGTCATTTAAAAGTACTGCCAAGATGAGCCATAGTTGGTTCAAGAGGAAAACACTAATCAGTATAGCAAATCTAATCCAATTACTTATTTCTAAATTCAAGCAATAGATTAGAGAGATTTTTCGGTCTGTTCGAATGCTTGTAAATGGGCAACAAACACAAGGGATGCGTGTTTTAGTGCGTGTGTGTGGTCGGATGGCCACGTTGTATCACCGCACGACTTAAATTGTTTGTAAAAAAAATCACAAAATCACATAAATATGTTTTATTGTTGTGTGTATGGTCGGATGACCACGTAGTATCACCATACAACATAAATTGTTTTTTAAAAAATCACACAAAAAAGCAACAAAAAAGGAATTTTTTTTTGTAAAAAAGTCACATAAAAAGCAACGAAAAATGAAAATAAAAATCAGTTCGCGCCAGGTAGGGGTCGAACCTACGGCCTTCTGCTTAGGAAACAGACGCTCTATCCACTGAGCTACAGGCGCTTGTTAGTATGACATGCCCTATGTATATTTATAACTGCTACTACATTTACTTCCCGCCCATGTAATTCGAAATGAAATAAAAAGGAGCCAAACAGAAGAGTTCAGAACTAGAGAGAGAGAGATGGAGGAATCGATTGGGAGCTTGTGCAAGGGCGTAGCGTCCTTCTGCAACCACCTCCAGAGCAGCTGCGACGCCCTCAAAACTTCCGTCGACCGCCGCCCCATCCCTCTCGATACGGCGTCGTCCACCTTCCTCCAATCCCTCAACCGCCGAGTCTCCGCCGCTAGCACCCAACTCAACCTCCTCGATACGATGTCGTTCGGCACCGTCTCCTTCGAGGAGCTCTTGGGCCACTGCTCCGAGGTCTACAAGGACAACCAAACCCGCCTCCTCCACCTCCAACATCGTCTCTCCCCCTCCTCCGTCGCCGGTACTAATTTTCTAGCCAGCCAAACACGCCTTTAGATTGTAATTATTCATAATTTCTCATTAGTTATGGTTTTATTGCAGAACTTGAGATTGACGACGATGAAGATTTTACATCGACGACGGTTGATCAGGAGCACGGATTCGATGCATCTGTCATTGATGAAGAAGAAGATTTGTATCCTTATTTAAGAATTGAAAATTTAAATTTATAAAATTGGGAATTGGAATTTCGATTTGTGTTTTCTTAGTGTTTCGATTAGATTGGACGAGTCTCTGAGTTTGAAGAAGCTCGGGCTTTCGGATGCATCTCTTGCATCTTTAGGTGAGAAAATTGAAGTCAAAACCCTAAATCTCTGTTTGTTTGTGATTTCTAGTTCACAATGCTTGAATTTCGCTTTCTTTTTCTTCGTAGTTTCTGTTTAATATTCGTCTTTGCAATTGATATTTTTGGTTCTATCACTCATTCTCTTGCAGCAAATGATAAAAATGAGGACACTGATGTATCTATGCATGAGTTGAAATCCTTAAAGGGGTCATATGATCCTTCCACGAAGACCTCAGGAGCTTCCGGAGACAGATTGCTATCTGATTTTGGTATTTAACGCTGTGTTTTATAGTATGTTTCCATTGAAAATCATCGGTTTAGCTACGAACAAAATCTTGCGAATATTGCCCATTGATGTTGGGCATTGCTAAATGTAGGTGAAGTGGAGGATAAGCCAAAGCTAGCTGAAGTTCATTTGCCTCTTGTAAAGGTGTCCCCGGATGATTACGAGAGTCTTCCTTCCTACATGAAAAGTTTAGCACCTTGGGAGGTATGAAATTGCTACAAGTTTCTTGTGATTGCATTCTTGTTTGCAAGCAATGCATGCTTTAGTCAAGATAATGCTTAAATCATATGCATCACGATTCATGAAGGAACTTGCTCTTGTACCGGCATTTGGAATCCTTATGTTGATAAAATATAGAGAGGTGTATCTATCTGAGAAATGGACTAAATTATGTTTTCTAAGAAAAGGCAAGAAGATTGCGTAAGGAATTTATATTATACCGAAAGCTGTAAGATGTTGGATATCAAAATTAACAGTTTCAGCTCATAATACTAACTAGTGATAGAGTTTCCATGTCATTTGTGCTTGAGTGTTAAGAATGACATCCTGAAGGTTTCCAATTTAGCAACCCAAAAGGTGATAGAGCATGATATATCTCAGTTTTGTCATTGTTCATCGTCAGGTGTTGAAACATTATTTGAGGATGTTGCATAGCAGATTTAGGCATGGTTCATGGAGTTCATGAATATGTATGATGCACTGTGTAACCCAGATGATGTCGATATAGTGTCTTCATATATTCGTATAGCTCTTGCCATGTCTTCATCGAGCAAGAAAAATGAAAGGAAATAAGAATGACATTAGGGTAGAATAAGATCGATGGTGAGTTGCTGACAAACTGACCGTGCTTTCATGTGCATGTAGAAACTTACGAGTTTTAGTCTAAAATGAATACATCAATCCTCGTCAAAATATCGCAATTTGCTTTATAGTTTATGCATAATGTCAAATTTTCTGTTCATTTTGTTTCCAATTTCTGAGAATTTGTGTTGTGTTGAACTCGACTTTAAGGACCTGCTTGCCGCTGTCGAGAAGATTAACTCAAGCCTGAAACAGAAAGCAAGGGGGACTAATTTCTTCCATCAAGATGAAATTTCAACCTTGGGCTTAGGCAAGTTCTTTCTTTCACTTCTTCCAACTGATTTCACGCAAGAACAATGGTATTCCTTCTGTGCATCCATACTTGTTGGCATATGCGCACATATTTCATTTGAAATCTCTTTACCACCAAACTTTCATGAGGCAATCCGACTACTTTTCGTAACTCCAAAAAATAGATTTTTACAGATGTCAAATTCAATGGCCTGATTTGGTGCTGTTTCATTGATATAGGGCCGAAAGCGAGATCTTACTTGCTGCTGCTTGTACGCATGAATCGATTGGTTGTTGAGACCGTAAGTGGTTTAATCTCATACCGAGTTTTGTAATGAGATGTATATTAATATCAGATGGAGTTCATGCACACGAATATAGTCCAATGGAAAGGGGAAAAAAAATCGCCAAAAATCTTGCTGGCAGAACTGGGTGAGCCGTTTACGCAATTATGCAAGGAATCGACGAATTACTTGTTTAATTTCTTTTTAAGGCCTGTCTGAGAACTGTTTCATTTTTAGTTTTTGGTTTTCACTTTTTGTGTTAGTGATGGTGAGAGTATTTATATACTAGTGCATTTTACTTACTGGTCCTGCCCCCGCATTTCTTTAACGAGTGCTTCTGTTTACTCCCCATTCTCGTCTTTGAACACTCCTGGAAACTCACTCAATTAAATTAATTTGCTTTGGACATCCATCTTCTCATCTCCTTTCTTCGGGTTATTCCACATATGGGCATGTAGGGATGGGCATTGGGTATGGTAGTGGGCAACCGCAGTTAATTACCTATAACCGTTAAGAGCTATAACCATGTATGTACCCATATATCCGTTAAGTAATCGTATCCTTAACCGCACATAACCGTACCTGTAACCATTTACGCACAAGTCTTCACTTTCGACAAAATTGAAGAGTCAGGAGACAGATTGCGTGTGTAAACAGAGCCACTCTTCTTTAATTCAATGCTGAGGCTGAGAGCAGCAGCCCCAGAGGCACTGCTTGCTATGACTAGTGGATTCATCCGAACCTGATATAAATTTGTTTTGGCATTGTATAAAGTATGAAATATAACAAAATAAATGCAATACGAGTGCTCATTTACTTCGGTGTGTAAATCAACATGTCACACACTGGATGGATGGAACTGTAAAGCGGAAAATAAACAGATCGATACATACAAACATGCCAATGTGAAATCGTATATCTTATACAATCTGAGAGCCAGAATTCTGAACATGCCAACCATGCTAATACAAACCCGTTTCGCAGTTTTTTGTTTTCCAAGGGCTTCACGAAAATGAGAGAAAATTAATTGAACACGAAAAATAATATTACGGAACAATCCTACATGCAAATGTAGCCAACCGTACCCGATATACATGCCCTCAAAATCTCCTTATGTACTGCTAAACTACAATGGAGCTGTATAAGGAAAGCAACCAACCTCCGAAAGCAAGGCGGTGCCTTCAATAAGGAGGTAAAGAAAACAAACAACAGAAACAGAGCACATCTCTAGCAGGGGGAGATGATCTTCCCCTTCCCCGACCACGTGAATGAATATTTGATCCCAAACGACAACAATCGATTGCTTGACCAAATCACCCCTATATGAGCTACATCTCGTTTGCATCCTGGCTATTTTCCGACTGCCTCCGTGGCACTGAGGGATGCTAAGTACAAGCTGACGCACTGGTCGAGGACCATCAGCTCTTATTAGTTGTATATTTTAACCGGCTTCTCATATGTGTGACGGTTCTGCAAAATATTGTGAGGTGAATCAAAACCAAGAAACGGGAGGTATCCATTTATTTGATAACACTATTTTGGCATAAGAATGTGAAATTTGTATAACACCAAGCAGCATTTACCTGATTTGCTGCATAAGCTCTCTTAGGAGCATTATCAGAGTGCTCCAACCCAAGGTACTGCTCCCATGCACCATAAACATCTCTTCTCTGAGAAAAACAAAAACCATAATAGTGGAATTAAAGAACCGGCAACGCAATAACGGCTATATCCATAAGCACAAAATTACAATAGACCATAGACATACCTGAAAACGGCTGGAAACAACATCAGAATCCTGCAAATACTCTGGACGACCAAGTGACAAGAATGCAAACTTCCACTGCACAACCACAAGGGAAATAGATGAGGAACAAAGTAAAGAACTATTAATTCTAGCGGTAATACAAATCTTTTCCTCCAGCAATGTTTGAATGTATATATGGTGTGGATCAAGTACCTTGGCGAACTCCTCATCGGGGACCTGCAGTTTCTTTTGTATCCGTTCTTTAACTTCAGCTAAAGTTTCACCTTCATGGATGACCAAGAAGAAAGGTTCCCCAAAATTTTGTACTTGCTGTTGAAATGTACAAAGAACAACATTGTTACTAAAATCTTAAAAGTATTTGAATGAATCACTCTTCATCTTTAACTGAAACAGTAATCAAATGGTTCTACCAAGAAAATATCAATTAATAAGCAAAAATTCCACTTTCAAAAAATTTTATTAAAATTTCCCATACCATCTGGTTCTGTGCAGTGTCTTTTGTAAAGTGGTAAACATGAATCAGGCGATCATGGAGACCCAAGTTTTTCTCTTCTTCTGGAATCTGATGCACGAGGAACAAAGGAAAACAAAAGGTCAGCTGCATAAAGAGCACCGGTAAAAAAATATCAATCCAATTCAGTCCTATGAAGTAGTAAGGATGCTAATCCAGAAAGGGAAAACCAACTAATTACAGATCATGCCCATAAAACTACATCCGCAGTCTAAAAAATTTCAATTGAATAAAGAAACTTCCCAAAATAAAACTAAATAAAGAAAAGGGGGCGAAAGGAACTTGCCTCCTCTGCACGCAAAGTCCAGTACTGGTCATTTATATTCTCAATTTTCTCACCATGTGGGAAGATCTGAAAACAAACAGAACGAACTGAGTGCAACTACAGACTAAACTATATACATTAAATTGGAGGAAATAATTTCTGATACAATAATATCCTTTAAAACATGCCAAACATTACAAATGGGGCCACGCTAGATGCATATCATTTCTGGGAAAAGTGACCCAAAAATAATTTACCTACATGCCGATACAGCTGATAGACAAGTAATTACCTTGTAGATCTTGTGATAGAAAACCTCAAGCAGTCGGAGTTCTGCCTTTGGATGAGACAGTTCTACCTGTTTCAAGTGCACCATTGAGTAAAATCTATTATACTGAACTTTTAAAGGAGGCAGAGATAATTATTTGAGCATCTAATTATTTTTTCAAGTTATGATTATCAGTGGAAACTGAGTGAAATCCATTATAGACAGCCTTAAGGACTTAAAGTACAAAAACCTGTAGGAAAAAGGACACAGATTTTTAATTAAACGTAATATAATATGTAGTGCACTGCATCGGTGCTACACATACATCAGGCTAGTAACTCTAAAACGAAAAGAAAACGCACATAAAATTTCCAATATGATTGACAGAAACCATACCTTCGTTTTAAGTACATTAATCACGTCCCCTACAGTGCTCTGTTTGGGCAATCTAATATTGTGAATCACCACCTGTAAACATATCACTCAAGATTATGATCTGCACAATGATGTAATCGCCGTCCATTGCCAGAAGACGTTGAAAAAAAGTCTCACTCATACCTCATCTTTTGTAGCATGATGAAAAGCAACTTTTAGATTTTTTAGGCCTTGCAATTCTGGCAGGGGGATGTCCAAGACTTCATAATACAGGATATCAGAGCTCTGAAAAAGGAAACAAGCATAATAAGTAGCCACGCCACATGATGCTTATGAGAGTGAAAATCAAACAGAGGAAGGTCAACAAAGTGCAACTTACTTGATTGTAATGAACTAACATATCAGTTAAATGCTCTACTCCCCGAAATTTAATTGGTTGGGGCTTAGGTTGCTGAGAATAGCAGTTATGTGCAGTGAGTCTTATTTTGGTGGGATCATCCAAACCAATTTGGCGAGCCAACTTCTCCACCACATCATCGTAAGTGTGTTGCTTTGACCTAAAAAATAACAAGAAAAAAACAATTAGAGCACTGAATAATAGAACGATGATGGGCTGTTCAACTATGAGGGACAATGGTTCAGGAAGTACTTACAATTCTAAACTGAAATCCTCCTCCTTAGGTTTCTCCAAAGAACGGAAATGAACAACCTGTAAAGTATCAAATCATTCAACATAGTTAGGTTTAACATTCAACAAAATACAGCTATAAACAAATTAAATGTTTCGACAGCTTGTACCTGGCGATTGTGTACGTATTCCAAAAACGAAGGAACATCAGGATATTTACATTCTTCTTCACTTTTAAGAGGAGTAGACTTCTGAAAGCAAATAATATCCCCATCTTCAATCTGGAAAAGGAAAGCAACCGATGGTTAACTAAAAAATACCTAGAAAAGCATCAAAATGTTAATTCCTATACCACACACATACTTACAATAGACCAAGCATGCAATATAGCAACAGTTACCTGACTTAATCGAAATGAGGTCTTCTTGTCAAGGTGTTCGCACATGATACAAGGCTCAAACTTAATTTCCTGAATTTTAGCACAAATACATATATAAAGTTTGCTTAAAGTTCGATAGCAAAAGAATGCAACAAATTATATAGTAAATGTAAACATACATATATAGTCTACATGTATATGTGTGTGTGTGTGAGTTAGGACACAACGATGCTACAAAATTAAGTGAAACAAACCTCATAAAGTTCAATTTCTTCCTCAGGGGCAAAACCAGCCAGTTGATTTAATTTTCCTAAAATCTCTGCTGGCTTACTAGAACTCTTCACGAAAAACCTACCAACAAAACTGGAAACAGAAAAGAAACTTAAGTTAGCAAACAAAAGTCAACAGAGAAAAAAAAAATTTAGCTAAGCAGAAAGGGCAGGAGGTACCGTAGTTCTCGTTTCTCAGGCTCATAAAGCTTAAAGAAAAGAAGAATATCTTCCTTGGTTTTGTCAGGCGGAGGAATAGGACGTAGATCCTGGAGAATTTATAGAAATAATAAAATGGAAGAAAAGATCCCTTTCATACACAATTAGAACTGCAATAAGCCTCACTACACAGGTAGTAACAAGAATAGAGTAAGACTGGTTACCGGCCCAAATGCTACTTCCAAAAACAGCTTTAGCTCTGCATTGTTTGTTTTATTTGATACCTCTCTCAATTGTCCAACCTGAAAAACGCAAGCCGTCATCAATAACTTGGCATAAGGCACCTAGACCAAGCTCTTCTTGGAACCGAAGTGCAGTTAAAAACACTCCAATCAATGGTTTATCACTGACCAACAGAATTTATTTTTATAGTTGAATAACTTCATTTGAAACTGCCTCAAACAATACTGAAATAAGAATTATTATCCGAATTCCAAAAACCCCATACATTAAGCACTTAAGTAAATTACAATTTCACAAAAGAGAGAACAATTATAATCATGCACCATTCGTTCATAAACTTGAGCAGTTCAGTGTTAGACTCTACAAAGACAACATTTGCCAATAAATCCAAGTGGGAGAAAAGTAAGAATAATAAGAAATTAAGAATTGGGAATTAC